ATGTCGTCTCTGTCTCCGCTGTCCCCTCACAATGCCTCCCCCCCGCCCCAGCCCTCCCAGATCCCCCCCAGCTGTTCTCCCCGCCGCACCTCGAAGCCGACACCGCAGCGGCCGGCAGCTGCCGCGTGCTGGGCGCCTTCCCGGCGGAGGAGACCCGCGTGGTGCTGGCGCTGGATGGGGACCCTTTGGAGACGGAGGTGACGGCGACAGCGGAGGCGGTGACGGCCGTGGCTCAGATCAACGCCCGCACCGTGGGGCACCGCGAGCTCAGCTGCACCGCCGCTGTGGGCGCAGCAGAACAGACGGCGCGGGCGCTGATCCACGTTTACCGTATGGACAGAACTGAATCTTGTGGATCCCAGCCTCATAGATCCAAATCCTGAGACTCCAACCCTGAGATCCCACCCCAACATGCAACCCAAAATGGATCAGATGGTTGGACTTACGGCCATAGAGATCTTCCCCATCCTTAATGATTCCATGACTTAAGGCTTCCTAAATCCACCCCCCAGCCCCCTATCCCATAGGGCACCCCACCACTGCCCCCTCCCACCTGCAACCCCCAGACCACCACCCCCATGTGCGCTCCACCCCAAAACCCCAAATCCCACAGCCACCCCTCCCCCTCCCACCCTGATCACCCCAGCCCCTCTCTCACCCCATAGGATTCCCAGCGCCCACCCTGGAGCTGAGCCCGGTGCCTGCGGGTCTCCTGGTGTCGGTTTGGTGCCGCTCGGCACCTGCGGACCCCCCCTCGGTGCGGCTGCAGCTGCGTGATGCCGATGGCGGGGTCCTGGCTGAGGGTCCTCAGCCGGCGCTGGAGCTGCGCGTGGTGCCCCAGCGGGAGGACGATGGGCGCTGGTTTGGGTGCAGCGCCCGCCTGGCCCTGGGGGACGACGTGGTGACCAAAGAAGCCGAGGGGAGGCTGACGGTGCTCTGTAAGTCCCTGCCGTGGTCCCTGTTGGCCCCATGTGCAGTTGGGAAGAGAGTGGGGAGGAGGGGGAATGTGTGGGGTGGTCCCCTTCCTGTCCCATCGCCATCCCCATTCTGTCCTCATTCTCATCTCAATGCCAATTCCCGTTCCTCGCCTCCGTCCCGTTCCTCGCCTCTGTCCTATTCCACATACATTTTCACCTCCATCTCCATCCAACCCCTCACCCTTCATCCCCCCTTCCACCCCAGCCTCACCCTCCCAATCCTATCCTATCCCATCTCCATCTCGCCCCACTCCTCCCATCTCACTCCTCCCGTGTCCATCCAACCCTGCATCCATCCCATCCCCCCGACCCCCCTCCTCCCATCACATTTTCCTCCCCAGACCCCCCCGAGATGGACTCTACCTCCTGCCCCACATCCCTCACATGGTTGGAGGGCACAAGGGAAACTCTCTCCTGTGGGGCTGCTGGTAACCCAACACCTATCGTCACCTGCACCCGCCGCGGTGACCCCCCCGGCACTGCCGGACCCATCCTGGTCACCCGGTCCCATGCTGGGATCTACCACTGCAATGCCACCAACAGCGTGGGGACACGGAGCCGCGTTGTCACCGTCCGTGTGGAGTGTGAGTGGGGCGAGTGGGGGGCACTGCGGGGGGCATTAGGGATGAATGGGGTGGTGGCATTGGGGGGGGCTCAGGTTAGTTGTGGGTCTGGGTGATGCCAAATACGGACATATTTTATTAGGGAAGGTAAGAATACGGGGTGAGGGGGATTGGTTTGGGACTAAAAGGGGCAGATTTGGGTCGGCTGTGGGGTGAAATTCTTCCTCTTGAGGTGGGGGGGGGAGTCTGAGGGGATCCCACAGTTGGCTGGGTGGGATTTGGGTACCAAATAGGCAGGGGGTAAAACTGGGGGGAACCTTGAGGTCCCAACTGGAAATTGTGGTTCTGTAATTATGTGATTATGGGAGTCTCTAATTAATTATGCGATTGTGCGATCCCACGATTTGCTGATCCCATGATTCAGTGATTCGGTGATCCCGTGAGTCTCCAATTCCACCTTCTGTTGATCCCACAACTCACCGATCCCACGATTCGATGACCCCACGCTTCCCTCCTCACCTCCCTTACCCCCAGATGAGCCCTCGCTGTCGGAGCTCGGCTGCCCGGCGCACCGCACGTGGCTGGAAGGGCAGCGCCGGGAGCTGCCGTGCAGCGCCGATGGGGACCCCGCGCCCACCACGCACTGCGCCCGCCATGGGGGACCCCCGGGGGATGAGGATGGCCGCACCGTCAGCCGCGGCGACGCCGGGCGTTACGTCTGCACGGCCACCAACCGGCACGGGTCGGCGCGGCGCAGCGTTGACGTCACCGTCGAGTGTGAGTGGGGAAATGGGGTGCTGAGTTTGTGCGGGGAGTGCCGTTGTGTCTGGGCCAGGGGTGCCATTGTGACCGGGTCAGGGATGCCGTGTCTGTGCCAGTAGTGCCACCGTGCCAGGGATGCTGCGTTTGTGCCAGATTGCCATACCCATATGCCAAGGATGTCACCACGTTCGTATTAGGAGTGCCACATCCACGCTGTGGCCAAAGTGGAGATGCCATGGCTCTACCAAGTTGGGAATGTGGTGACCCTACCATGACCAAACCAGGGATGCCGTGAACACCCAGGAACACTGTGACCGTGCCGGTGCCGCCGTCAGTGCCATCATGGTTCCCCTTCCTCCCCTCAGACCAACCCAGCATTGGCGATGCCGACTGCCCAGCGCGGCGGCTGTGGGTGGAGGGCACAGCGGCGGAGCTGGAATGCAACGCCAGTGGGAATCCCCCCCCCAGTGTAGCTTGCTCCAAACTGGGGGACCCCCACGCCCCCCCTGGCAGTGCCAATGTCACCCGTGCCCACGCCGGCACCTACCAATGCCAGGCCACCAACGTGCATGGCACGGCACTGCAGAATGTCACCATCACTGTGGAGTGTGAGTGGGGTGATGGGGGGAGGGTCTGGGGGGGGCGATTTGGGGGTGGGGGTTTTGGGAGGGGGTAAAATGAGGAGTTGGGGGAGATTTAGGGGGTAAAAATTGGGGTTTGGGGGGGTTTAAAAATGGGGGCTTTGAGGTTTGGAGGATCTGAAAAGAAGGAAACCGATGGGTTTGGGTTCCCCGATCGCCATTTCTGGAGGACGGCTTGAGGCTGGAAGGGAAAAGAAGGGAAAGCGAGGGGGCGTTTTGGGGCTCAAAGGGGCCCTTTCGGGTTTTCCCTCCCGCACAGACAGCCCCGCAGCCCTCACCCTCCGCGTGCTGCCGTCCCCCAACGTGAGCCGCGGCGGCAGCTTCAGCGTGGAGTGCGGCGCCGAGGGGGTCCCGACTCCCACCTTTGGGTGGGCGCTGCCCCCTGCCCCCAACCTGCGCTTCGGGGCCGACAACCGGTCGGTGGAGGTGGAGAACGCGGCTGCCGTCAATCGCGGCCGCTACACCTGCATGGCTGTCAACCGGCACGGCCGGCGCGTGGGCAGCGTGGTGGTGAGCGTGGATGGTGAGCCCTGGGGGACAGAGGGGTGGTGTCACCAGTGGGGTGTCGATGTCACCAGTGGGGTGTCGATGTCACCAGTGGGGTGTCACGGTCACCGCTGCGGTCTCCCCTGCGTGCCGTCACCACGAAGGTGCCACAGTCGAGGTGTCACATGAGTGTTGTTGGCACGGTGTTGATGCCACCGGTGCCACACCGTGGTTCCGCTGTCCCCGCAGAGAGCCGGCTGTCCCTGCTGCTGTCCCTGTCCCTGCTGGGTTCTGTCACCGTGCTGGCAGCGGCCGCATGGGGCATTTATTACATGAAGACCACAGCCTGCAAGAAGGGAGAGTACAACGTGCGTGATGCCGAGGGCTCCTCCGAGGCCTCCCGCCTGCACCGGGGGGACAGCGGGGGACAACGGGAGCTGTTTGGGATCCCTCTCACCCCCACCTGAGGAACCTCAGCACCCGGGACCCCCAGAGCACATGGAGGTGGAGACAGTGTGGTGACACCTGGACCGAGGGATGGTGGTGGGGGTCGCCATGCTGTGCCCGTGGGGGGGGGTGGTGGCTGTCATCATATTGTCCGCAAGAAGCTGTGTTGGTTGTTGTCGTATGTCCCGAAGAAATGGTGTTGGATGTGCCCAAGAAACAGCGTTGGATGTCACTGTGCTGTTGGATGTCCTCAATTAACAGTGTTGGATGTCACCATATTGTCCCCAAAGAACAGTGTTGGATGTCACATAAACCGTCCTCAAGGAATAGACTTGGATGTCACCAAACTGTCTCCAAGGAATGGTGTTGGATGTCACCAAATGTCCCCAAGGAGCAACGCTGGTGTTATTGCTCCATCCCCATGGGTTGGTGTTGGATTCAGCCCAATTTGTGGCCAGTGCCGTTTTTTAACTGCTTTGCTTTGCATTTTATGGAGGTTATTGGGAAGGGGGGGAAGGAGGCAAGGAATGTAAATTAAAAATAAAATTTTTATTGAGAAGGATGAAAGTGGAGCCACAGCCCGGTCCCAAACTCCTCCCCATACCCACACCCCCCACTTGGTGCCACTCAGCAGCCCCTGCCCCCCCAGTGCGGCCCCAATGGCACCTGGTGCCGGCAGTGGAAGCAAAGCGAAGAGTCTGGGGGGGACACCACAGTTGTCACCCCCACTTTTTATCGGCACACAACACCCCCTGCACCCTCATCGTCCTCACCTTCATCACCAGAACCCACCGTGGCCCCCCCACCCTGGGCCAGCCAGGTGTTGGGGGACAGCATGAAGTCAGCGTGACACCTGTCCTCATCCACTGGGTAACACCACTGTGGTGTCCCTGGGCCAGAGGTTGTGTCCCCATCGGTGTCACTCATGGGCTACGGCTAGCTGTGTGTCCCTATAGATGTCCCCCATCAGGTACCACTGGTTGTGTCCCTATAGGTGTCACCCATGGGGTACCACCACATTGTCCCTACAGATGTCCCCCACTGGGTACCACCACCCCCATCACACTGCTGTCAGTCTGCTCACCCCTCTGAGGGTCCCATGGGACGTTACCACCCTGCACCCATGGGTGCTACGCTTGTGTCCCTGGTGCTGACCCATTTGGGGAGGCTGTAGCCCCATCCGAGAAGCCCCCCAAAGCCAAGAGGCGCTGCTGCTCCTTCTGCAGCTCATATTGACGGATCTTCTTCTTACGGTAATACAGGCGGTACAGACCAGCCCCAACTGCAGCCAGCACCGCCGCCACCACCGCCAGCGCCACCAGAAGGCCCACGTTGATTTCCCAGTCTGGGGCAGAAAGTGGTGTCAGCACCCCACGTGTGTCAACCTCTACTCCAACTCCATACACCCATCCCCACATGCGTCACTGCCCCACATGTGCAACCACCAACCCCCTATGCCCATCCCCACGTGCGTCACCTCCACCCCAATGCCCCCATCCCTATGCGTGTCACCATCCCACATTTGTCACCCCATCCCCCCCCCCCCCCCGTTGTGGCCCCCTATGTGGTCACCATCCCCCCCGGGGTACCGCCCCCCCACGTTGACCCCCCCCCCCCACTCACACTCCACCCTCACGCTGACGCTCCGTCCAATTGTGCCCAAGGCGTTGCTGGCGCTGCACCAATAAGTCCCGCTGTGATTCCGGCTGACGACACACGGCTGTTGCATGAGGATGATGGTGCCATCCTTGTGACATGTCACCACTGGGTCGGGTTTTCCTCGTGCACGGCACCACTGGTTCACCTCCTGGCCCTCCGTCCAGGTGTGGGTTGGGGGGCAGAGTTGGTCGTCCATGTGGGGTGGGGCTAGGGGGAAAAATGGGGTTCAAAATTGGGCCAAAGGGTTTGCCTCGGGACCAGTGGGGTTTGCACAGGGACTGAGGGGTTTTGCATTCATAGCAGGAATTTTGCACCAGAGCTGTGGGATTTAGCACTAGGCCTAAGGGGTTTTGCACAAGAGCTATGCAATCTGGCACCAGGGCTGAGGAGTTTTGCATTCACAGCAGGAATTTTGCACTACAACTAAGGGGTTTTGCATGAGAGCTGTGGGATTTTGCGCTAGGTCTAAGGGGTTTTGCTCTGTGATCGCGGGGCTTCTGCACTGCCGTTACGGGGTTTTGCACCAGGGCTGTGGCCAACCCCCAACGCCAGCCACCCACCGCTGACATTCAGCCTCACGACGTCGCTCCATTTCGGAGCTCTGCCCTCCACTTTGGCCTCGCAGCGCAGCTCGGAGCCGTCGTGCCCCTCCGTCACCAGCAGTGTGAAAAGCAGCGGCGATGGCCCCCAGGGCGCCAACACCCTTTGCCCGACCATCACCCGCAGCTCGATGCCCTCCCTGTGCCCTCCAGGCAGCTCGCAGAGTCCCGACACGTTCTGCATCGCCACGGGGATGTCGGTGCTGACACTGAGCTGCGGCGTGGGGAAATCTGTGGGTGACAATCAGAGAGGTGACGCCCATGGGATGCTGGCACAGAATGCTTGGGTTGGACGGACCCCAAGGATCACGGAGCTCCAACCCCCCCAGCTGCATGCAGGGCCACCAACCTCCCATCGAACACCATCCCAGCTGCCCATCCAACCCGGCCTCAAACGCCTCCAGGGACGGACGGCGCACCCACAGCTTCTCAGTGCAGCTGTTCCAGCACCTCTTCACTCTCATAAGAACAAACTTCCCCAAGTCCTCCCAACCCCTGTATGGGAACCGCTGAGTCACGGCCTGAACCTCTGATTGATCACCTGAGGCGAGCACTGAGGCAGCCAGAGGAGCACAGCTGAGGGCAATTCACCTGAGCTGCCGGAAGCCTGGCTCCCCCCTCCTAGACCTATTTAAGAGCTGGCTGCCATTGGGGAAGGAGCTCTGCTGGAGTTTTGTGAGCCCAGGATAAGAGTAAGTCTTCCATTTTTTCCTCTTTTGTTATCATAGTCTGCTTTGGCTAACTCTCTTGTTTATTCTGTGATTATAACAGCCTAATATTCTTTGATTATACACCCCCGCTGACCCCCAACCTCATTCTCCCCCTATTCCAGGCCCCCAGTTCTCCTCCTGCTCTGTCTGGCTGCAGCCCCTGGATCCAACCTCAATCTTCCCTCCCTCAACTTCAAGCCATTTCCCCTTGTCCTGCTGTTATCTCCCCTTTCCAAGAGTTGATTCCCCTCCTGTTTGTAGGCTCCCTTTAGGTACTGAAGGCTGCAATGAGGTCGCCCCACAGCCTTCTTTTCTCCAGGCCGAACAAGCCCAGCTCCCTCAGCCTGTTTCTGTAGAGGAGGTGCTGCAGCCCTCTGCCCACCTCAGTGCTCTTCTCCCTGTCTCGGTGCCCCTCCTCTGGACCCTCTCCAGCAGCTCCCTGTCTTTCTTGCATTGAGATTCCCAGATCTGGTTGCAGTTCTGCAGATGGGGCCTCTGTGACAGCAGAGTGGTATAATCCCCCCCAGTCCCACTGCCACCCTTCTGCTGATGCAGCCCAGGATTCCATTTGCTTTCCAAGCTGTAATCACACACTGCTGCTTCGTGTTCAGCTTTTCGCTCTCCAGGTCCTTCTCTGCAGGGCTGCTGCCCCCACCACTCTGTACACACCTGAGATTCCTCTGGCCCAAGCGCAAACCTTTGCATTTTCCGGTGCTGACCCTCATTAGATTCACCCATGCCCTCCTTCCCAGCCTGCTGAGGTCCCTCTGATCCCCATGGTCTACCTGTTGTCACCCCCCCCTTGTCACCCTATTGCCTCCATGGTCTGACTGTTGTCCCCCCCACCATTCCCACTGTCACTGCTGACTGTTGTCACCCCCCCCTCCATTGTCCCCTTGCTCCACCTGCAGCCCCCCCTGCACCCCTCCTTCCCCACGGTGCCACCTGCTGCCATTGTGCCACACTCACCATAAACGTTCACCACCAGCTCCGTGCTCTGTGCCTCAGGCCCCACTCTCACCCTGCACACCAATTTGTGTTTTCCAGGCTGATTCCACAGCAGCCCCCCAGTCCCCACACTCTGACTGTTCTCGCTGTATGGCTTCAGCGGTTCCCCATCCAGCAGCAGGGTGATGTTGGCTGCAGGGAAGGCGTTCCGGACGCTGCAGGTCAGGTTGAGCTCCTCGCCAGTTTCCAGGCGGACGTCGGCTGTCGTTTGGAGGGCTGGGGGGGATGAGGTAAGCGTGGGGGGGTCCGGGAAATCTGCAGTGGAGGGGAAGAGTCAGAGGGTGGGGGGGCAGAGGGGAGGGCTGCAGGTGGACCAAGGGGACAATTGGGGGAGGGCAACAGTCAGACAGCAGCGACAATGGGAGTGGAGGGGGGGACAACAGCGTTACAATGGTAACGAATGTGACCACGCTGGCAGCTCACCATAGACATCCACCAGCTGTGCAGTGGAGGTGGTGTTGAACAGCGGGCCGTACGGCCGCAGGTCGAGCTCTGCACGGCAGGTGATGCTCTGCCCATGGTCCTCCCGCCGTGCCGTCACCTCATGTGTCACCAACACGTCCTCCGGCTGCTTCTGGGAGTGCCCCCAGAAAGTGGCTGTGTGCAGAGTGAGGCCACCACGGCACAGGGACACCGTCAGGTTGCGGACTGGGGACACGTTGGGGACAAGGCAGGACAGGATGTGAGCACGGCCAGACTGCAGGGGGGGAATTGGTGACAGCTCCGGCTGGTCCAATGGGCCTGGGGGGGGAAAAAGGGGACAAAAGTGACAAAAGGTGAGAAAGGGTGACAATGATGAGGACTGAAGTTGATAATGTGGTGAGAAAAGGTGACAAGAGGTGACAAAAGGGAGAATGATGGTGACCAAAGGTGACAGCAATGGTGACGGAAGGGTGACAAGTAATGGTGACAGTGATGGCAACAGTGACGAAAGCGACAGAAGGTCTTGGTGATGGTGACAATAATGGTGACGTTGGTGACCGAAGGTGACAACAGTGACAGGAGGTGCCAACGCTGTCTCCTGGCAGCCTTACGGTAGGCGATGAGCTCTGCCTTCTCCCACTCCCTGCCCCCGTGGCAGCGGAAGTAGCACTTCAGGCTGCTGTTCCACTCGGTGACGTCGCTCAGTGTCACATCCAGCACCGTCGCGTTGCGGGGCTGACGACTGTGGCGCGATGAAGTCTCCACGCCGCCCTGCACCTGGGGGTCACTGCAGGAAGTGCTGCAGGTGATGTTGAGGGAGCCGCCGAATGGAACCAACAGCACCGGGGGCTGCAGCCAGACGGAGCAGGAGGAGAACTGGGGGCCTGGAATGGGGGGAGAATGAGGTTGGTGTCAGTGGGGGTGGGGGGGTTGGGAGGACTTGGCGGCAGATGGTTGGAGGGGGTGGAGGGCCCCCATATGGGGACATAGGGCACCAAGAACCCCCCATATGGGGATGTGGGGACCCTCAAATCTGTCCTCCAGGGGATACAGGTTATGGAGGACCCCCATATGGGGACACAGGGAACAAAAGACCCCCATATGGGGCCATGGGAACTTTCCCCCCCCCTCCCCCCGCAGTTTGTTCCATATGGGGAAGCACCACTTCACCCCCCTCACCCCCCATAGTTCCCCTCTCAAGAAGCAGAGCCGTGTGGGAACTGATTTCCACTTCCTCCTCCACCCCCAAAGCACGGGGGGGGGGGGACACACGTGGAGGATGGGGGGGGTCACACGTGGGGGAGGTAACACAAATGAGGGGCATGCGTGGTGGTGG